CATAGAATAAATTCGCTTTGATTCTGAAAATCACCAAATGTACTGAATGTTTCATAAACAGAATGTATCCGAAAACAGAAAAAAAATATTTGTTTTTTCTACTCACTGGATAGCTTTAATGGTTGACAATGAGATGGTTTTGTGCTTAACCTATGAGTATTGTTACAATGCAGTTTTCTAACGTCAAATCTGTATTGAATATCTGTGGGTTGTGCAGTATGTATGTACTTAGTACAGTATTGGTATGTAAAGCATATATGTAACGTATTTAATATTCCTTAATTGTCAATAAATGGTAAATCAATCTTTTCTTGAAATAGATACATTGTTTGTGTCATTCAAGAGTTGTGGTTGATTCTTCTTGGAAACAATATTAAGAGACGAGAAACGATTAGTATTGAACGCGATTGCATAAAAGCAGCTCCACTCATCCTTTGCCACTCAAAACCTTACTCCTAATCATCTGAATAATCTTAAAACCTTCGAGTATTCCTTTCGAACACTGCAAAGACGAAAAAATTTTGTCTATCTCTCAAACACTGCAAAACATAAAAAGTATTTTTTATCTACCTTTACATTTTCTTCTACATTTCTCATTTTTTCGTCTTTATTCCAAGATGTTTTCACCTCAAGTAGAACAACGTCCCCAACAACAATCTGCCATAGTTGGTGGAAAATACGATGATTTACAGCATCAGCAATTGATTGATGGGATTCCCGTAACTTATATTCTTGAGAAATTACACCAGCTTGGTCCTCGCTACTATGGTGATAAGTTAACCGCATTTGCTGAACTACACGTAGAAGGTCTCGACAAATTCTTCTATGTACACGAAGAATATTTAGTCCTTCAATCTTTATTCTTTCGTGAAGTATTTGAAAATGTTACTAATGGTGATATTATCACCATTTCTCTCCCATCTCCTGAAACTTTTGAACCGTTGTTAGAGTTTTTATATAATGGTGATCCTGATAAATGGTATGATACATTGACGGTGGATAATTATTATGATGTTAATCAGAATATAAATTATCTTGGACTTGGACCGGCAGCTCAGGCCGTGATTTTGGCGTTCTATCAAGACGAGATCGAACCTTTGAACGATAATTGTAATAATATTACAAATAATAATAATGATAGTGATAACAATAATATCAATAACGGTAATAGTAGAGACAATAATAGTGAATAACTAAGGGACAATGTTGAAAATTTTGGTTTTTGTAT